ATTCATTAATGCTAATAATGAATATGTGACTAAATATCTCCACACAAAAAAAAAAAAAAACAAGTGGTTGGTCTAAAAATGTATCCCCTCTTCCCCTCTTTGGTCATAATGCACTGCCACTTAGAAATTCAAGGAGCTGATCATGAGAATTGAAGGGCATCCTCCTCCTCTTATTGACTGAAGAGTTCCCTAGGCCCCAAACCAGAATGGGATACCTTAATATAACACTGCTTGTCAAGGGCGGAACTTTCAAGGGGCTGTATTGCGCTTTAGTCTGGTGTTGAATTTCACTTTAAGGTTAAATGTATAAAAAAATGTAGTACAATTAAATATTAGCCTACTACCTCATAGCCACACATAGTACTTTTTTTTTTCCTCATCCAACGGAAAGGTACAAGATCAGACAAACATAACTTACCGAAAAAGAATTTAAAAAGAAAAGTAAAACATAAGAACATTAAAATAACATAACTTATACTTTTTTTCTTGCTCCATTATTGTTTGTCGTTGGTCAAACTCAAATACAACATTAATATATTAGAACATCATTAAATCAATGGTACCAAGCTTTGAATCTTCCCAATCTACATGCAATCTAAGGTATTACTTCACCTTTATTTCTCAAGTTTCTAATATTTATTCATTGGTTGTTTGTTCACTAATTAATAGGCTCCAATTTTTAGTTCTACTAATTTGTGTTTTTTTTGGGGGGGTTTGGTTGTACTTATTTGTGTTAGTGTTTGGAAAATGAATTATTAAATTTAACTAGACTATAAGCCTCGTTCGTGTTTAGTTATGCTATTTTCGGGCTTTACCCCCTTACCAAAAAAAAATCTAGACAATTTAAATCATTATATATTATATTATAGAAGAAATCAAGAAAAAAAAAAGAAAAAGAAAAGCCATATCCTAAATAAATTCATGATTTCGCGATTGCCTGTGATGGTCTAAAGGATGACTATCCAAATTACCCAATCAAAAGATAACCTTGAGATGAGATGTCTCGTCATGACCTTGTTTTAAAGCATATGAAGACGAGAAGAGATTCGATTCATTGACTATTAAGTCTATAAAATTATTCTCTCCATGTGAAAAGAATACATACATATATATTTGGGAAAAGAAAAAAAAACATATATATATTATTTAATGTAATGGTTTATTTTAACAAGCAGAATTGTGTGCATTTTAGTCATCTATACCTGACCATGACCCAACAACGCAAGATTAAATAAAGATGGCTAGTGACCAATGAGAAATATGAAAAGGTATGAACTTCTAGGTATTTTCCACATTGGATGAAACATTTGAAACTCTTGTCTCATCTCAATATAGGGCGGTCTTTGAGGGCCCTCTTTAAATGGTGACACGTCAAAAGGCAAGTTTTGGAGGGGCTCTCTCTCTCTCTCTCTCTAGAAGGTGATATGCCAAGGCGACCAATGAAGGTAGTCTTTGAATGTAATTAGAGCCTAACTGTCCTCGCACTAATTAGCTATAGCCAGTCTCCAATCGTTGCAAGTCAAAAGTCAAAATGAATTATACACAATTAGTTTGATGCCATGATGAAAGATTTTGTCTTTTTTTTTTTTTAGTTTGAACCACGAGGTGGTCCTGGATGGGCCCCAACTATGGGTGGCACCTTTAAGCCTTAACCACAACCCAGACTAATCCCCGCTCACCCCGGGTCGGCCCGTAAGGGGTAAAGTGCTGGCCAAAGTGGTGACTCCATACGAGAGCAGGGATCGAACCCCTGACCTTCTCTTAAAGAATGAGAGTGCCGAACCACTCACACCAACCACCTTGGTTAAAGATTTTGTCTTTAAGTATAGCGAGGATCCTTCCATATCCATACCGTCTCCACGTCATTGTGCGATTCTAGTATAAAAAGCCTTCTTCTTCCGAAACCTGAAGGACTAGACTAGACAAAGCTGGACGCGTGCATGAAATGGAGAACAATACATTGGTTAGCTCTACGATTTCACAAGTGTTTGTATACACAATCTTTTGTCCTCGTATTTTCATAGCTCAAATCTGTCCAGTTGCTTTTTTATTTTTTTATTTTTATTTTTATTATTTTTTAATGCTTTCTTGTTAATATTTGAAACTTGGATGACAAGGGAAACGAGATGGGCAGATAAAAACTTGATTTATATATATATATATATATATATAATGCATTGGGTCTTTGTTATATAGAGCATGCATGCACGCGAACCACTGTTATTTACTTTTTATTAGTATCAAATGTAATTCCATCTCATTTTTACATCATATATTACAGCACAAGTGAGGATGTTGTTCGCAGTTTTACAAAGGCAATACAGCACAAGCATATTTTCTTTCTCATCACCATGCTAAGCGTGCTCCTCCAACTGAAGCATGGAGCTGAAATTGGGTCTCTGTTTGACGCAGAGTATGTCACTGTAGTCGCGTTCATTGTCGTCTTATTCTTATACATAAGTTCGTTGGCGGCTGTTAATATACTCCAAGCTCACATTACTTCAGATTTGGGTGAATTCATGAATAAGATTAGCCTCTTATCTGGAATTCTTGCCTCCATCTTATTATTGCTTATCCTTGTTCCATCCTTTGGGTAGTTTGCCCTCATCTTGTGGACCGCTTGTCTTGTGACAGTTGTGACCAAATCCTACCAATCTTTGAAAACATTATTGTATATAACTATTGCAGATGCAGCAGTGGTTCGACGTGCCTTTGGCAAGTTGAAGGAGCTCATGAATAGCCGCTTGATGGAAGAAGCCGCTTGACGGAAGAAGCCGCGGACCAGCAGAATGGGCTATACCCTGATTTCTACCACATTCAAGTATATACACTTGCAAAAGTTGGAACAGTATATATTTGCAGTCCTTCATGCCTTTTGATGTATCGCCACTTCATGGAGGAGGACGTGAGGATCCTACTTGTACTTGTTACTCAAGTTTCCACTTCTGTACTGTTTGATTGAGACATTGAGTTCTATAACTCGTCACTCATTATAAGAATTTGATATTTTAATTTTAATTATTACTACTTTCGACCTAATTTTTATGAAAGTATTTTTGTTCACCACTTTAACCCAAGTTGTATTGTCATCACCATTTAAAAAATTTAACACACGTCTATGAGCATAACCATGGTTTTACTATCGCTTATCCTTGTTCCAGATTTTGGGTGGTTCACTCTCAGTTGCTGGATTATATATTTTGTGATAATTGTAGCTAAGTCCTACCCTTATTTGAAAAAGGTGTGTGCAGCCGAGGCACTTGACAAATTCCAGGATCCGATCATGAGATTGAAGGGCCTCCTCCTTCCCTTATTGACTGATGAGTCCCAGGCCCCAAACCAGAATGGGTTGCCTTAATTCATTCTTCCCACACGCTTGAATAATTAACTGCCGGAGCAACGTTTAGGCATTGCTCCTTCTTGGGCTAAGCCCAAAGTGTGCGCAGATGAATGGTCCTCGTTTTCGTTTTGAATCTATTGTCTTAAGTATCAGGTCCTTTAGTTGGAGGAAGGATGAGTATCCAAATTAGCCAATCAAAATATGACCTTGTTTTCTAAAGCATATGAAGACGTAAGGAAATCCTGATAAGCCCTATTGAACTACGCAAGATTAAATAAAGATGCCTTGTGAGATGAATGGCAAACAAATAAGAAAAAAGTATTGAGTTTCTAATATGGAATTGTTATGGAAGAATGGAGCCGGATAAATAAATTTAAAGTGTGAAAATAGTGTTTATTAGTAAAGTGATTAAATTGATTTATAAAATATATTCTAAGAATAACAGTGGGTGGACCACGGAAAAAAGTTAAATCCTTTTTTAAAATTTTATATGGAGTGAAAATACGAGGTGAATGGAAAAGGGTAGAAGGATCTCGAGTCTGTGTATTTACCTGCATTTAGGAGAATCTTGAATGTCCATTTAATTGAATGGTATTTGAAAGCCACGCCACCATAATTTTTTTTTCTTCTCCAGTTTGGAGCTAACTCATGCCCTCAAAATTTTTAACTAGTCGTTAGTTTCCTCCTTGTGGTCAAAGTTTCATTTTCTCTGATGAACCAAATCGAGTCTCAATCTTCATCAATATTGGGTTTGAATAGCATCACGTGCAATAGCCTGGTTGGTTAGAACTTTGTTTACATGACCCAAATAAAAGAACAACATATCGGTCCATAATATGAATAGTAGATTTAATGAGGACAGCATCATGTTTATGTCAACAATTGTTAAATTTGACCTTCATGCTAATTATGTTATCGTATTAGAGGAATATTTGAGGACATTATAAAGACAAGGAACATACATCATAAAGACAAGGGCTAGTAATTAAGGACAAATGATAAATCATATACGGACATCGTACAAAACATTTGCCTACCAATTCCTTGCTTGTCGTGCATTATAGATTTATATCCAGAGGTATTAATAAGCAAACGATAAATTCATAATTGGGGCTTTTGTTTTAGCTTGGTCGGCCTTTGTTAGTAAACACCTCTGCTTGCAAATTAGAGAAAAAACCAAAAACATGTTTTTGCTTTTGTTTTGTTACAGTGCTCGTGTTTTGTATGTAGGTTTTATGTTAATATGTATTTTGCCATATTATGGGTGAATTTGACATTGTTGTGCTGTGAAAATAATCTCTTTCATATTTGCTATGAGAAAAATCAGCTGTCAATGAAAACAGTTTTACGTTTAATAAAAGCGATTTCAGTACAACCATCAATTTATAAGTGTTTGGTAAAATTGTTTGTAAAAATGCCATGTTGGCCTGCACAGTAGAGTTCCTTGACTATTTGACCAACACCGACCCAAAGTTCACTATTTTTTAAATTTTGATTTACCACGGCTAGTAGACACACGTAATTTCGTGTCATTTTTTTGTTTTTGTTTTTTCAATGAAAATAAAAGAAAAAGAAAATTACTTCCTTGCCGAGGTCGTCAAATGGATTTTTAAAACGAGAGCAAGCTGTCAGAACAGAAACAGCGCAGGAACGAGATTGCTAGGAAGCTGAGAGAGCAAAGCAATACGCAAAGTCGTTATGGATGCCAACATTTCTGTTAACCCTCCTCCTCCTCAACGTTTGGAAGAGTAAGTAGCTCACTTCTTTTTTAATTGAAGCAAGCAAATAATATTATTGCTCGAGGGATCGATGCACTTATATTATACATGAACATATGTGATTAAATCTTCAATAAATTTATGTGGATGCTGCTGCTGCTGCTGCCTGCACGAAACTATATCAATCTGTTTAGCATGAGACGTGCCCATTGTAATATTACAAATGGACTGATGAATATTACCTGGGAAGATGGTCTGTTTGCGCTTTTATTTTTTATTTTTTTCTGGGTGACACCAAAAGCTATTTCATCAGTTTCATAATAAATTCTATAAAAGCTAGGATTTTGTATAGGCTTCCCTTCAACGACTTCCAGCGACAACCCTGACCTCTGAAAGCTCAAGCAATTAATGTCTATGCTTACATCCCGGACAATCTATACAAAAGGGCCGGCCGGCATATACTAATTACAGCTGCTGACCATCAAATACGAGATCGTAGCTAAAGGATCCGACAGAGAAATCGCAAACAATCTAACTCCGAAATTATTGTTTACCCATAAAAACGTTTAGCTTGATCTCTTGAGGACTAAGGTAATAAGTAGTAGTCATCTTGTATGTTTCTCAGGCGGCGACTTCTATCTGCTTCCGAGGGGAGAAACCCAAGATATCGACGTCATCGGCCATGGATAGCGTTACATAAGATATTGATCAAGGTGGTACCATTAGCTTTTTAGGTCTTTGTGGTTTAAGGTGTGCCCAAGAAAACCCATAGCGTTTAGGAGCCATGGACGTTTAGCGTACTCATGAATCTTCTTGTAACCTTCTCTATGGTGATTTCTATATCTGCTTCTTGTAAGCCTCTCCGACCTGAGATACTTGAGCTGGTTCCGCCTTCCTCATCTGTCTCTCACCTCATGCATATATATATGTATGTGTGTCTGCGTCTTACTGGGTTATGTTCTAGGTTAACGGTGGCTACCTCACCCCTCAGATCATGAAAATGAAACCCCAGTTGTGGCTCAATGTTATCTTATTTTCCTTTTGTAGTGTTTTTTTTTTTTGGTTAAAATTAATTTTGGTAAGTTTTAATTAAGCGAAAAAAAAAAAGAGGACTATTAACTAGTAGTGTTTGTTAATTAGTTGCACTTCAAATAGGAAGAATTAGTAGAGTAATGGATCTGTATATCTAATTCCCTGTCTGGCCATTTCCCTTTTTTTCTTCTTCTTTTACGTTATATATGTAGTCCAATATGAAACATTATTAACATTTCTCTCTGTACATAAATATTTATAGCACAAGGGACGAAGAAGAAGAGGGTCAGAATTCTCTTGGGGCATTGCACAAATATAATTTCTTTCTGCTGGGCATGCTGGGCTTGCTCCTCCAACTGAAGTCAGGAACTATTGCGTCTCCATTTGTCAGGAACTACGTTACTGTACTCACGTTCACTGTTGATTTATTTGTTTACGTGGCCTCATTGGCGACTGTCAAGATACTAGACCACCAAGCTTCGATTAATGATCCAGACTTGTCTGAATTCATGGACAACGTTAGCCTCCTGTCTGGAGTTCTTGCATCCGTTTTACTATTGCTGATCCTCGTCCCAGCTCTCGGGTGGCTCAGCCTCCTCTTGTGGGCCATTTATTTTGTGAAGGACGTTGTAACTGTGACATCGTATACCAGTGTAGCTGTTCGTGCCTTTGACAGAGTGAAAGAGGTGATGATGAATCAGAGTGGCCTTTCGATTTCCAAGGAGGAGCAGAATCATGTTCATCAGCAAGAAATTATAATGGAGGAGGGGCAGAATCATGTTTCGTAATTTTAGTTTTCTACCACGTTTGAAGTAAGTACATTATACATTATACATACCTGTGAAATAGAAAGGTTTGTACTGTACTACGTTTTCGGGACACAAGAAAAAAAAAGGTTTGTACTGTATATATTTTCAATTTAATTACAGTTGCATTGCATTGAGTTGTTTTATTACTTATATGTTCTTCAAGGTTATTATAAAATAGTAACTGTTATTCAATCTTATAATAATCTGATTATTATTTATCGGATTTTTTTAGTTTCACTCAATTCCTATACTTTTATTTTTCTCTACCCAAATAATATAAATTGGGTTTTTTTAGAGTGCATTTTTTTGGTTTCTTTTGGTGTCTTTTAATACAGTGCCATCCATGCTAAAAATATTGGGGAAAAACCCTTATTGAATCAAGGTCCAATTTTCCCTATATAAAAATAATAATAAATCAAAGTCCAATTTTCAATTTTTTTTTAATGTCTATTTTTCCCTTAAAGGTAAATAATGAAAACAATTTTAAAATCCTCGATTTAAGGTAAATAATATGTAGTTACATATAGTTACATATATAACGTAAACAAATGGGCAAACAAATGGGCAAAAAGAAGAACTTCCATCGTTGAGGCCTTGGTGTTGAGGGAGAAGAAATTTGAATATAGGTTGTGTAAAGGTTTTTTTTTTTTTTTTCAGTGGAAGGGTGTGAGAGACTTTGGGTAAAGAAATGGTGTAAATTTGTATTATAAATAGTTATTGTATACTTAGTTTCACAATGAATGAGAGAGTTTTTTTTTTTTTTTGGTAAAAAGTAAAAAAAAATAACATAGAGAGATATTATTGGGGGTAAAATGGGCATTGAGAAAAGTCAACCTGTCTAGCTCAAAAAATCAGTTGACACATCATCATGGCCATTAATTCAAATTTTGATGTAAACCCAAAAATGAGCCTCAATTGATCCTGAAAAAACCCACGGGTTTTTCGAATGAATGCTTGAATTTTCGGGTTAATATCCTTATTTGTATAATTAAGTTCAAATCAAAAGAGAAAGAAAAGTTGATTACAGTTTTAGATTATATAAGCCAATTTGATCCAAATCGCAACATGTCTAGCAGTTATTTGCACTTACAAAATTAGAGGAGAAGAGATGTTTGGAGTTGATCTGAGTAGAATCCTCAGGCAAAACTTCCAAGGGCTAGCATAATCACTCCCAAGCTCTTCTGTTCCAAGAATATTAGAATTTATAAGGAACTTCCCCCCTACATATTCACACAAGTACTTTCACATAAGAAAGATAAGAGAGGAAAGAGAAAATGCATATCATATGATTTTGCTGCGATGCATTTTAGAAACACGAGGCATTGTCTAGGGAAGTAAGGAAGAATAATCAAAATGAGAGAGAGAGAGAGAGAGAGAGAGAGAGAGAGAGAGAGAGTGTAGACTCTAAATAAGCCAAGTTCTGTGTTGTAATTTCTGCTACATTACTTATTAGTTCATCTGTTTTCAAGAAAATCAACACTAACAATAAAGATGAACACAAAATTATTATAACCTGAGTACGAAAACAAAAGGGAAACCGCACCAGGATTTGTGTGGGAGAGCAAATATCTTGCGCCACCAAATTAACCTGCAGTCATGATGACCAGAAAAACGTTTAATTATCGGTAACTAAAAATCAGATTTATGGGTGATAATTAAGCTTACAAATAAGATCACCACTACTCAAGCTCTCGGAATGAAGGAATAGTTAGGGAATTGATGATATGACTGATTAACTTCATGCCCAAATGCTACTTGAGACAAACGCGTAGAGAGGATATATGGGAGATCAATTATATGTGAATATTAGAAGTGAGGGCGATGTAAGCAATGTAGAAGCTGAAAATACAAAGTTACTAATTAATTAAAAATAGTGTGCAAATGTAGCTTGTGCTGGAGATTAAAGAGAAACCGGCCATGCATGCACAGTGCACTGTTCATTTGATTCGATTGTATTTCTGAAATAAGCTTCGCAAGAATATGCCAGCAACACTGTTCATCTGTTTTTCTTGTAACTTGTAAGGCCGTACAGAAAGGCCCTCCAGTTTAAGTTTAGGGCGTACAGATAACATATACAGACAGACTGAGCCGAAGCCTTGATGTTGATGGCTAAGTCTAGGGCGCCAGCTTGAAAGTTCGTATGACTACAAAAGTAGCCAAGTTCTTGACGTCCCAAAATTTGTCTTCATGTGCTCAAATTTGTCTTTATATTAAAGGAAATCTTCAGATTTGGACAAAAATTAAGAAGAAGCAAACATGTCGTCGTCATTTGCAATGATATGCAATAAAGAACACCAAGCTAACGCTCCCCAACTAATGAACTGAATCAGAGGCCTCCTGAGATCTAGATTCGGAACTAGTATATTAATGTTTTTTAAAGAACTACATTTCAGCCTTGAGCAAGAAAAACAACCCTGTAAACCATATTTACTGCATATAATAGAACACATACCTTGTAACCTTGGTCTCCCATTAGAATTGTCTAGAAAACAAGAATGGTACAAGAGCTCTTCTCTCCTCAATCTGATTTCTCACATACTAATTCTAGATGGGTGAATTCTTTAGTGTAGGTTCTCTTAATCGGTTGAGCACATGGGCACTTGTGTTTATATGCATCTGCCTAAGAGTCTTGCCCATCAAAAAAACTCTCAAGCAGTCCTTATTGCATTAGATTAATAAAACCCTAATCCATGTTAAGTAGGAATCCCTTAACCCTTGTATTTTAACCTAAACACGTATACAAAAATTACAGGCATAGTGATATTAGAGTCCTTAATCAATATTGAATTCTAGATAACCATATGATGATTAGAAAACCACTTTAGGTAGGTAGACATATAAACTTAATGTCGTACATTCTCCTACTTGATCAAATAATCATCAAGACTGCAATATTGATCACTGAATGGCCATGTAGAAATCAAAATCACCATATTTCTAAATCAAGCCATTGTCAAATATGTAAACTTATATGGAACTATCAAAACACTTGAACTCATGTAAGCCTCCAAAAGTACATAAGGCTTATGATCATGACCAACTTAATTTGTGCTTACATAGGTCACTTTCATTCATAAGCCCTTCCTTAAGAGACTACCAAGATCTCTCCTTTTGAATAAGAAAAAGAATGACATTGTCACGATCTCATGTCTAATGCATTGACTGGAGCTATTTATACTGCATACTGAC